GTATATGCATATACATGCAGATGAGTAACAACACAAAGTTTTGACTTTGTAAACCTTGTTGGTTATTTTTATTGATGCCTATCAAACTGATTACATATACCATCCTGAATCCATTTTGATTCCCTCACTCCCACACACAAACACACACACACACACACACATATGTGCACAATAGCATAATGCATTCCAACTTCACGTCCATACACACAGATGTTTACTTTCAAAGCAGATATACAAAGAACAATGTGTTCTGACATGCAGAGCACTCACCCATATAACGGTTTGACTCTCTGTGCATTGTGAACACACACTGTGCACAAACTTCCAGATGCACGATCATGATCCATTCACTCTCAGCAAATGAGATGTCACATACAGTATATTCACTGATATAGTTAAAATTCTGTTGAGGGGTTGGAAACACATTGCACGCATACATACATAAATTGAAGAATAAATTAAACCTGGCCAGACTTAAAATGAAAAAAATCAATATTGCATTGGCAATGCTGTTCCCAAGTCATTTTGTCCTGTTGTTATTTCTAAAAATACATATACTGATGTTAACCAACTGATAGCCAGCTAAGACAATACAAGTTATGATATGTTCAAATAGTTGTTCACATCCATATTTGAACCATTACCTGATGCAAAAATATAATACGCATAATGCTATTCGTTTTTTTCAGCATAAATGGAGAGTGATTTCCTTAGATTTGGACTGGTCAGTTTTTAATGATCACGATTTGCTTCCCCAAAACTGCATACCTTGCTTAGACTGTATGTATATTATAGATATGATAAGATATGATGGTACATCTGTCACATGATATAATGAGCCTTTTAGTCCCAACTGATTTCCATACAATAAATAAATGGAAAAGAGAGTGAGCTGACACACAGACAACTTAAAATTCACAGAGACACACACAATTGGATCACATTTACAAGATTCGTGACAACTGTTGGGCAGAAAAGCCATTTATACAGAGAGAGTGTCCCTCTTTCAGATATATTATGCTGGATCAGTTGCATAACCGCTGCACGGAAGCCCAATGACAAAGCAGTGCTGTACAAAGAGACCAATTTCATATTTTGTACTGTATCATAATCATAATTGAAGACAAATTGTTGTGAATGTACATATTTCGTGATGGTGCGAGCAAGGTCCGTGGCCTAGACAATGGCTCATTTTGTTTCAAATACCATTCAATTTTCAGTTTCCTCTTTAGGTCGCAAGGAACAGCATATTTTCCTCATCAGATAATGTCCAGAGGAAGTCTTTCTTTTGCTGTCATTACCATAATACTGTGTGCAGGCGTACAAGCAAGGGAGAGTTCTTTTCTATGATGCTGTTTTCTTCTTAAAGGTGAAGTGTGTGATTTTTGGGGGGAATTTGATATACTTTCTTCTATCCCAGCTTTATTCTTAAAAAATAAAGGGGATTTTTGCTGTGATGCCATAGTTGATTTAGTTTTTGGTTCCTCAAAGAACCTATCAGTACACTGTTCTTAAAAGAACCATTTTTTTTTCTTAGTGTGAAAAACATTTTTTTTTAATAGTCTAAAGAACCTTTTGTGGAATGGAATGATTCCATGGATGTTGAAAATTCTTCATGGAACCATAAATGCTAAAAAAAAACATGAAGAACCAAGAACCAAGAGTGTATGTAGGGAAAATTTGAATTAAAAAGCAACTTTGGCTCAACCAATTGTGTGAGTTTGGGGCGTGGCTATCTGTTTGACTGGCAGATGAGGGGGAGGGTTCAGGAAATCTTGTAATTATTTTTGCATTTTAATTCAGTGATGCTAGGGACACAAAATTTACACATCTTTAAAGAGTATTTTTTATATATATATTTATCGATTTAAATTCAAAATATATTTAAGACACGAGTCAAAAGCACATGTTTGCTTGTCTAAAAGAAAAGTGACCTTTACCATAGATTATTTTGCAGTTCCCCCAAAATATGTATTGTTTTATACCTCAGACATTCCATTCTTTCTTAAACATGGATATGTACACCTAATGGCCTTTTTTTTTCAATCACAAGGAGTAATATACAAATAAATTATTTTCAATAAATTAAAATTCGCAAATAAAATAGTCAACGACATTCACTTGGTTGGCTTCAACCAAAAGTCTTGCAGCAACAGAGAATCGGGACAAACATCCTTTCACATTTTGGAAAGATTCTCGTTCCCTTTGGCAACTTGGGCTACGTTTACACGACAACGATGTAGTCAAAAACGGAAAAGTTTTTCCCTTGCATTTTTAAAAAGTTTTACGTGTACACGTCAACGTTTTCAAAACGATTCGCGTTTACACATATCCGCGAAAACGGACAAAAACGCTGTATTACGTATGCCAGGCCAGTAGTTGGCGCTGTCACCTTGTTAGTAAACAGGACCTGTAGGGAAGTGACGATTATATGTTGTATATGATCAAAGACTATAGAATACCCTTAAAGGGACTTTGATATGATGCGTCTTCGCTGTTGGTTGTAATATTGGTGAAGTAAATCCACACTTTGCTGAAGAAGCATTAGCAAACTCTTGAGCAGCA